TGGTACACGGGCCTCTCACCGTCGTGGCCTCTCCCGTTGCGGAGCACAGGCTCAGCAGCCATGGCTCACGGGCCCAGCCGCTCCGCGGCATGTGGGATCTTCCTGGACCGGGGCACAAACCCATGTCCCCTGCATCGGCAGGTGGACTCTCAACCACTGTGCCACCAGGGAAGCCCTCTACTCTCCTTTTTTTTTTTGCTAACCAGAACAAGTGGGCTGTTTCAGTGCAGGTCCTCTGTCCCTAGACTCCTCCTGAGCCTTGTTGCCAGGGGAGCAGGGGAACCCCACCAGGAGACAGGTACTCACTCCCTCACTCTCACCCTCCCTAGAAGGGATACATTATCAAAACAGCTTTCCCTTGCAGAGATGTGGAGTGCACATCTCTGGGAATGTGCACACGTGGCTGTACACACGTAGGAAGCTTGCTCCTGTGTATCCTAATGTGTCCAGCTACTAGTAAATTGGGGAGTGGAAGAGTAGGAAAACAAGCTAGAGGGAAATATTAAGTGAGTGAAAAGAAGTGATAGCTCAGGGATATATATCAAATAGGCTAGTATCAGGAGGAAGTTATGAGGACTCTTCATAAATATTTCCAGGAGTGCTAAGACAGAATTGGATACCTCATTCCAAAGTATGTTTAACTTTCTGTGTTGGTTCAGGCCATTGTGAAACCCCATATCTGAAATAATGTTCCAGGTACTTTGTTACCAGTTCCTTGTAAGATACTACCTAGTTAGGGTTGCCAGATAAAATACAGTTAAATTGGAATTTCAGATAAACAGTGAATTATTTTTAGTACAAGTATGTCCCATGAAACATTTGGGATATACTTATACTAAAAATTTATTTGTTATTTATTGAAATTCAAATTTAATTGTATGTCCTGTATTTTTATTTACTAAATCTAGCAACCTTATACCTATTAAATGAGCTGAAATCCTGAAAATTTAGAGTAGAGTAGCTTTTTAGAATGCATGTGAAGAAGACCCTGAAATATAAAATCTCTCTTAAATCCCTCTGAAGCATCAAACCTCATCTCCCGTCCTCAGTCATCTAGGGGTGGATTTGTGTAGTTTTTCAACTCGCAATATGCCTCTGAAATGGCTTCTCTTTACTTATGATAAGAAAGAGTGTTAAGTTCTAAAGCAACTGGAAAAATTATTTGCTTTATTCCAATAAAGGAAATTCAGACTCAAAACTTCTCTTCCATCCAAATTTTCTTCATTGACTCATAGACTGTTAGAAGTAGACCTCAGTTTTCTCATCTGTACAGTGAAGGGTTTGAAATAAAATAATCTCTAAGACAGTTTCCTCAGGAAGGGCCAGCAGCTGAGACCAATTTAGCATCATTGCAGCAGGCAGCTGCACCAAAATGCAGGCCTGCTGAGAATCCAGCAGTGGCGTGAGCTGCCATAACTAAGCTCCAGGTAAACAAGTGATGATTTAATCAGGTGCCCCGTGAGAAGAGCAATCAGTGATGCATATTAATGAAATGGGTAACTGCTAAATAAATTTGAGTAGAGAAAAAAGGTCACAAAAAAGGTGATCTGAAGGACTACGTGCTTAACTTCTCTTTCCTTTTCTTTGTATTTAGTGACTTAAAATTAAAAAGAGAAACATCCAAATTATAAGAAATTTTGGTGCCCATTTGTTGCCCTGGGTTTATACAACACAAAAGATCTCAAATCAAAAAAAAAAAAGACTCAGGCTAAGAAAGAAAGATGCTCTATGCTATATTACTTTCTCCCCTTCTTTTATATGCCCTCCTCCCAATATAATTTTCTTTGGCTCTTATATCCTTTTATCACCACAGCATGCTCAAGCTGTATATTACCCCAATCTAAGACTCCAAATGCCTAAGATTTGTGAGGGGAAATAGAGGGGTGTTATGTCATCTCCCTCAGTCAGCTACATCCATCTTGAGCTCCTTCTGCCCTTGGATAGCACCTTTGGCCCACCCCGGGGGCATAAGCCATAACTATGGCAGCCCCAACCTTAGCTCAAGTCTCAATCTCTAATACAGCCCTGTTGTTTGAAAGTGTGTCATGAACTAAAGTTGCTCATGAAACTTTAAGGTCAGTGTCTCTTACCTTTTTGTTGCCTCTCAGTCCCATGGCCCTACACTGCTGAGAACAGTAATCTCTATACTTTGGATACCCAGAATTGTTATTTTCTGACTTGAAATGTCACATTTTGTTCATTTCTTGGGGAGACACTCGTTTGACAGGTTGCTGGATGAAAAGAAAGAAGAGGAACAGAGTTAATTAAGCCTTAGAACTTGCCTAGAACACAAAAATTCCTCCATTAACTTTTCTTCTTCATCTGCCCAATACTTAACTTTTCCAAATTTAAAAGATATATATATATATATATTTAAATATATCTTTTAATGTATTACATATTTTAATATATTTAAAAGGTGTGTGTGTATATATATATTTAATATATTTAATCAAAATTGCATGATTCAGGCACAGACATAGACTTGGCAAAGCTATAGGGTCCAGAAACACACCCAAATACACCTGAGAATTTTGCAGCAAGGTAGTATTTCAACTCAGTGGGGAAAGAATGAAGTAAAAGATGGTGAGTCTACTCACTAGCATTTTTTTAAAAAATTTCTATTGGAGAATAGTTGATTTACAATGTTGTGACTCACTAGCATTTTTGGAACAAAATTAGGTTGGGGCTCTAAATTCTTCTACTAGAATTCATTCCAGGTAAAATGAAGATTTAAATATTAAAATATATGAAATCATAAAACAAATGGAAGAAATGAGAAGTAGAGAGGCTTCCTCAACATGACATAAAATCTAAGAGACTAATAAATTTGACTATATGAAAATGAAAAAAGGTCTTAATCAGAAAGTCAAAAGACAAACTGAGCAAAGTTGTTTTAGCATGTTTGACAAAGGGCTAATTTCCTAATATATAAATTTTAAAAACAGGAACCACAAGCTGGTAGAAAAATATACAAATGACAGAGGTTGGTAGTTTCCAAACAAAGAAATACAAATGCATAAGAAAATTAATTGTTCTTAGTCATAATTTGAGAAATGCAAATTAAAGCAAATAAATACAAGTGAAATAAATTTTTACCCCTTAGATTAAAAAAGGTGAAAAAGATTCATAATATCCCATGTTGGCTAAAGTAGGGAACACTAGCTCTCCAACACTATCAGCAGGAGTAAAAATTGTCACAACCTTTGAGGGTAAGTCAGTAATTTATCAAAATTTGAAACATGCTTACTCTTGGGCCCAGGTATAATTTGCCCTACAGGCACACTGGCAGAAATGCCCCAGGACGTACTTTCTGTGCAAGGGAAGTTCACCATAGCATAGTTTGGAATAGGAATGGAAAGGAATGTAGCAGTCAGTAGAGCAAAGCTAAATAAATTATGATCACTTACTACAATACAGTGCTGCGCAATTGTTTACAAGGATGAGGGAAACATACTTACCTACATGAAAACATGTTCTTAATGTTAAATGAAGAACAAAAACATGTTTCAGAACAATATGCTAGTGTGACCCATTTATGTGAAAAAAAGCGTAGATGTACATGTGATTATGTAGACATATGAATGCACAGAAAATGTTTCAAAGACTACATGCCGAACTGGCTTTCTGTATGGGGAATGGGAATACTGGGGAAAGGGAGCTTTTATATTTTATATACTTTTTTTGTTTGTCTTTTCTTTGTACTTTCTAAAAAAATTCATGAATATAGTATGAAAAAATATACTATGTTCCTTAAATTTAACTGTAAATTCCTAAATGTACATGCCCCATTTTTTAACTCTACTTTTTAAATTATTATTCTGTGTCTCAACTTAAAAAGCAAACAGACAAAAAACCTCTTTCCACCAACTCAAAAAACTTAGGGGATTTTCCTGTAGTCCAGTAACCCCTTCAGTGTTCAATAATTCAACTAGCTACAGTTCAAACCACTTTAATTAAGCCTCTTGAGGATCTCCTAGTGAGACTGTTGGGAGAGAATGGCCCATCTTCAGTTATTTTTGGATATGGACCCCAGAATAGAAAATTCCATAATTGGATTGATTGCTATAAGACAGTGTCACTATTAAAAAAAAAATACCCTTTGTTTAAACAGCAGATACTGGGGTAATTGGAAACACCAAGTATTAGTTTTGCTTTAATTTTACATCTGGAATCGTCTTTTCCTTCATAAATAATTTGCTTAGTCTTTTCAGTTTAACATGCCAGCAGATTCAGCTGTCTGTTGGATTTTGCTTCTCCACAAGGAACAGGTCTCAAATAACTGTATGAGAGAAAACACCTCAAGTGATTTTGTCCCTTTCAATTTGAGACTTGCCTTTTTGTCCAACAAATAGCCATGCATCTTTCCCTTGCGAGTAACTGTTTCCTTTTCCTTCTTGGCCATTCTCTGTATGTGTCCACACGTGCAATCAGAGACAGCAGTTGGGAACAGCCGTAGAGATGGAAATTGCCCAGATGCTCGAGGAGAATTCAAGGATCCTCAAGTTTGGATATCAGTTTACCAAGCAAGGACCACGAACAAGAGTGGCAGCTGCCATCACAAAGAATAATGACCTGGGTAATGCAGCCATAATATGTGCTGTTAGCAATTAGAAGAGCAGGGTGACCATTCATTTCTCCACTTCAGATATAATGTCTCACAGATACCTTTCCACTGGCCTTTGGTGTCAGCCCTTCATCGGAAGCACATTATTACATGGTCATAGGAATCCTCATCATCTTCACAGTGTTTAAGTTTTATTGTAGCATTCTTTCAAGAGGAACCGTTTGTTCTTTTTTTTTCCAGACAGGCTTTGATTTTTGCTTGATTTCCTTTGTGCATTTACTTCTCCTTACTTCTTACATGTAATCACCCTCTGTTATCTACACCACAAGATGGACACAGTGACATGGAAATTCCCAATTCACTTATGTTTGACTCCTTACTGTGCTTTTGTACTTGGGTTTAAATATGGTTATTGGTGATTTACATGTGAAATGACCTAACAGAGCTATGTTTTTTAAATGTTAAGCTCAGAAGTAGCTTTTTCAGTTAGCTTCTCTTTAATCTTTCCTGCTACCCACTCTTTGCTGAGGACTTCTGTTAGAATGAGGTGGGGCCTGTCCTGGTCAACCACAGCAAAGAAGAATGGGACTGATTGGGAAGGCTTGTTCTGGGGACATCCCAGCCACCTGAAGCAGTGTGGAGCAAGACCATCCAGGTGCAGATAGTCCAGTTGGCAAGCAGTCTGCCAACAACAGAGCTCAGTCCCCAGTTTGAGGTTCAGGGACAGAATGCCAGACCTTGGACAGGGAAACTGGACAAGGTGTCCCACCAAGTATAGTGCTGGCCATAGAGAGGGTTCAGATGGTGGACAAGATGGAAGTTAAGGGTTAGAACCGGAAGCGGGCAGGTACATGTTAGTGTCCAGTTTGCTGCCCAAGACCCTGAGGCCCAGCAAAGGTGCAGTGAATGGTACCCAGAGGCTGGCCAGGCATATGGCAATGCTTGCCTCCAAGGTGCAAAGGGTGAGGCTCAGGGGGCAGCCCAGCAAACAGGGCTTTGGGGAATGATTAGAGCAGCAGTTGGAAGATTCCTGGGAAAACACATGGGTCCTCATCTAAACAACACGGAGAGCAAAGAAAAAAGGCAAAACAAGAGGTCTGAAGTAAATGGAGAGGCAGTCCTGAGACCAAGAGCGGCAGCTGTGGGCAATAGCTTTTGTTGAATTTTCTGCAGCTGAGCAGGAGCAGGCTGGGCTATTTAAAGGGGGAAGTTGAGACAGGGCCACAGCCAGGGCACCTTTTTTTTTTTTTTTTTTTTTTTTTTTTTTTTGCCAAATCCAGTAAGATTGGAGCAGCCCTCTTCCTATCCACCAGAGGAGCCTGCAGGTGGGGAGGTGAAAGGGGGAAGAAGAGGGTTGCAGAAACTGGGAAGGCAGTCAGGGCAGATTCTTTGATACTAAGTACCAGATTTAAGGAAGCTTAATCTCTTGAGTTTGCTAGTCATCTGAATCCTACCTTCCTTGGAGGTTGATACTTCGAAGTTTCCATTTAAAACAGATTTAGAAACTTTAAATTTCTGTTTGCAGCTCCTCTTGGTTTTCAATCCAAAATCAGAATTGTGAATGTGTCATCCTGGGGAGTTAGTTTTAGCCAGTTGGTGACTGAGTTACACAGAAGCTGAGAAGATGTGTTGTGGATAAGTAAACATGAAAATATTTAGAAGTTCACTGTTTCGTGGGTTTGTTCTGGACCTTCTACTCCATAGAAATGGGAGAGCTCTAACATTGAAGTCCCCAACTATCAGACTTAGCTTTATTTGAATGTAAATTACAAAAGGCACTGGCCTAGTCTGTCATTTCCATTTATCGCCACGGGTAATTAAATACTGAAATTTTTGATAACTGTGTTCTCAAGTGTGTGAGATGCTATTCTGTGTGATTATTGTTGTTTGTCTGAAGTTTAAGGAATATGCCTTCATTTTGTCTTTTTAAACCTTTCTCTCTCACCTAGTTCGTAAAAAGCGAGTTGAAGGAGACCGAAGATAAACTTCCACAAGAAAAGGAAGTGGCAGTTTCACCATGGTGGCAATTTCAAAACAAAAGCTCTTCTCCTTCTCCATTGGGACCATTTTATCAAAGGTTGTTCATTTCCGTTAACCACACAACTAATAATTTAATTGTTATTCTTTTTTAGCACTACGTATTTGTCTTGGATTTTTAAACATATACGATTGTTTTATTTGCTCATGGGCACCTCTGGCAACTTGCACCAATGGACTTATGCAGATCTTAGTGGGTGACAATGGAAAATGGTTTAGTGACTTTCATATTGGGCGGTCTTGCTTTCTTACATGAACTTTTTTTTTTTTAAAGGAAAGGAACTTAGTATATAATGTGTTTGTAACTGTGATTAAGATAGAGGCCTATCTCTGTTTACATGCATAGCTTTGAGTTAGGCTAAATACATCAGAAGTGTTCTGCTGACCACATACGAAGTTAGTATTGCCAATCTTTCACTGGGTGAAAAAATGTGACCAACTTAACACAAATTCTCCCTTAGTTCCAGAAAAGTCACTAAATGCACATGCCCTACTGGTTGAAGATCAGTGGTGTCATCTTCGTAAAAAGAAGACAGCATTAAGATACATAAGCATAGCTTTAGCAAATAGGTATGAAATATTCTTTCACTCACAAAAATAGCTTCAAACCAGACTCACAAGTAGCAAAATGAATTAGCATACCTACTTTTACTGATTATTCCACGTAATTCGATCTTTAACATCACTCTATGGATAACTTTTTACAAAGGTGTTTTAAAGTTTTCCAGCCATGATGGCAAATTTTTAAATTTTAGCAAGAGGGAAGCTTTTAAAATAGTACATTCCTAAATAAAACAATAATAATCACACTTTAAGGTTGTCTGTTACACATGATTGCATTATTTTGGCAAATTTTAGAAGCATTTATTGCTTTGTCTTTAGGGCAACAAGATCACAGGATGAAATGTGAACATTCAAGTTAATTATACGGATTTTGTCCACATGGCATGATCCATCCAGACATTTTCAAACATCAGGAAAAAATGTGAATTATCGTTTATCCAGATGTTGGTCATCCCAAGGACAAAGACTATGAAAGTACAATTGAGATGATTGCATGGTAGATGCATGAATCTTTTCATCTTGCAGTGCACCAGTGTGATATTAAGCTAAGGAAACATGTGACTGCAGCCTTTGACACCAGCTCACAACTGAGGCAGGACGTGGTGACCCTCTGACATTGCCTTAGGCACCCCTGCCTCCCTTCCCCACCTCCTTTCCTTCCAACTCTCTCTCTTTTTTTCTTCTTTTCCTTATAATTCTGAGCCTTGTAAAGGTGACATCCTTTGTCCTGGTGACAACTGGATCTAAAGAAGTTGCTGACTCAGTCAGAAGGTGGGCCCAATCCAGAATTTACTAAGTAATTGAGTGTTCCTGAGTTGCTTGATAGCAGTAAAACAAATAAATGAAAAAACAATTCATATATTATTCTAGTTAGTTTATAAAGCACGTGGAAACTGTTTAGGATGGAAAGCCCTTATAAAATTGAACATTTACCTGTATTATAAGTGCCCACATCTCTATCTCTAAAATCCTTTGGAAAAGAAAATAGAAGAAAACAAAATAAAATCCTTTGAGACATAAGAATATTTTATACTTTTTGAGGGAATAATGAGCAGAGCATGTTGAATTTTGGAAACCCTAAAAATCCTTTAACTAGCTTTCTACTGCATCTCCCTATCTGTCTCTCTATCTATGTATCTATCTATCTATGTAGCAACTACTACTGGACAGCTTTCAGTCTGATTTTTTCTTTCCCTCTTACTCATTTAGGTGTGGTATGTTAGAGTCAACTTACAGGCTTACTCATTATTAAATTATCAAGAATTTTGTAAACTGGTTGTTAAACACAACCATTATTAAAAAGTAAATGACATGCACTAACAATTAAATACATTATATTAAAAAACAAAAGTAATACTCAAAAATACACTTTACTATTTTTCATACTCCTGAGATTATTTGCACTTACTGTGTCTGTGCGGCAGAAATACTGTATCGTGGTGTGCCCTTAAACATCTCTGCCCAACTCAGTAGTTCTTCCCAACTCAGAAGTTCAGTACTTCTTGTTGGTGGGAGTATTTATACCATGGAAATTAGCAAATATTACAAATCAGGGCTTCCAGCCCATCTCCCCTACCCCCAGTTTGCTGGTTAATAAACATTCAGCAGCACACCCCTGGGTAGAATGTTTACAGGTCTCCTCCTCCTCCTTCCTCTTCTTCCTCTCCCTCTCCCTCTCTCTCTCCCCCTCCCTCTCCCTCTTCCTCTTTTTGTACACATGTTTTGGTTACCATGTTGCCAGGGGAGACACATCTCTTAGTTGTCTTTCTCCTATCCCTTTAGATTTGTTGCAAATATGTTTAAGTGCAGAGTCGCTGACATGCCCCTCTAAGTAAGGCTTTTTCCTTTCTTTTCTCATTTACTCTCTTTCTTGCCTTCACCCCTAAGAAGTCTTGGATCCTACGGAGTGTTCCCTGCAGCCCCAAGGTGCTGTGGACCAGGGGCTAAAGCAATTCTTGGCAAACCGTGTCAGAAAGCAAGAAAAAAAATCAGGACTTGAAAGTGACTGTGCTGCAGTTGTCGATAGTATTAAAGCAAGATAATGGGATATTGTCAAAATTTAGCACTGTTTTTAGCTTATAAAATAGTTGGGTCACTTGTATATAGAGTCCGTTAAATCAAATATTTATTATTAATCAGTTTATCTTATCATTACCTGTGTTTTTGTAGTAGCTCGAAAGGTGACATTTCCATGAGTATTCATACAACTATTAAAAGATAAACTTACATTTCGGGGAGCCTATAAATCATTTAATTAGCCTAGGACTTCATTTCCCTGTCTGCCAAGTGTCTGTAAGTAGAAGCTCTTTCGTGATCCTGAGCATGACTAATCCCTTACCATCCATCATGGTGGGGCATAATGTATATAAAATATTTTTATATGTATGCATTTTGCCAAATATTATATCGAGATATTTGGCAACATCTGGACAGTTGATTGAAAGGAGATCATCTCTCCCCAGACCACCTTCTTTCCCCTTTTAGACGTGTACAGGCCCACCCTAAGTGTAAAATCACTCACCTGGATTCGCAGGCTCCTATCACCAACACCCATCACAGCATATGTGGAAGATGACTTTTAGGAGATACATTTTGGAAGTCTAGAGAGATCATATAATTAGTTCAGCACTACATCTCCCCATCTGCCAGAAGTGTATAAGGGAAACTTTTATCCTCATCAGCATGATTAAATCCCTTCCTTTCATCTTGGTAGGGCGTAATGTACGCGCGCGCGTGTGTGTGTGCATGTGTGCATGTTGCCAAATATCCAGATATCTAACTGGGTATTTGACTGCATCTGGACCACTGATTGAAGGGAGATACTCTCTCCCCAGACCCACTTCCCTTGTCCTTTTTTAGAGTTGCTTCAGGCCCAGGTGAAATGTGAAATCACTCCCTAGAGTTTGTGGCTTATGTCACCAACCACCAAATTTCCCAGCATGTATGGAAGATAACGCTTAGGGAATATCAGAAGCCTGGAAATCATTTCATTGTTCCAGCACCAAATCTCTCCATATGCCTAAAGTGTATGGGTGAAAGCATTTTCATCTTCATCCACATGATTAAGCCCCTTCCTTCCATCTTTGTAGGATATATTGTATATAAATATTTTGTACATAAAGATCGCCAAATACTCTAAGGAGGTGTTTGGCCAAAGCTGGACTCCTGATTGAAGGGAGATGCTGTCTCCCAGTCCCTCTCCCCTTTCCTTCTCAGAGTTGCTGCGGGCCTAGGTTAGGTAGAGAATCACCAACCTGGAGGGGCTCATGCAACTCACCCATCTTAGAGCACGCAGTTCATCTTACAGTAAAAGCCCATCTCCATTTAAAAACTGAGAAAGCATCCCAATGCCTATACTCCTCAAAACAATTTCCCTAAGGGAAGCCTGGCACATCAAACCAAAAGAACAGCTGCTTCTCTTCCAGACAGAAATGTGGCCCCTGGCAGGTCACCAGCATTAGGGAAACCAGTGTGTTCTGAATAACTACCATGAGAATATTTCAGACAGTCAAACTTGAAACCAGTTTAAACATCAACATGTTTTAAATGTAAGACATTTAAAATTTACAAAAGAGTTTGGGGGTATTTTCCTTTTTTGTGGGCATGATGTACTTAGCCCTCTTCTAGGTCCTGTGAAGGAGACAGGAAGTGAAAGAACTCTGGATTAATATAATTTGATCAGTGTTTCTGGGTTTTGGGGTAGAGTGCCTTATTGAAAAGTGGATACCATCTTTAGCTCAAGTATTGATTGCATAAGCAAAAACGGGCAGGGGGCAGTAAGCTGTGAATACTTTGTTCTGTGCTATGTTACCTGTACTCGGTGGAACTGTTTCTGGGGTTGGGTCTTAAGTCATGATTCTGAAGCTTCCTTCCTCTGTTCCACTAATGAAGCAATGACGGCTATTTTCATTTTAATGAATAGAGAACTAAGAAGAAATATTTTAGCTCTGCCTTCCAGTAGCAGTTTCCCCTTATTGCTCCTCATTTAAAATATCCCCACCACTCACCATGCCATCCTCAACGCTCAAGAATTGAGACACATGCAAAGGAAAAGATGTATTCATTGTTCTTGCTCCCAACTCTAGGTCAGATTGAATTTTGTTTTGTGGTTCAGGAGTTTAGTAGAGTGGAGGGGCTAAGTGCTGTGGGGAAGGAAGATGGAAATTAAAGGTTTTGACTTGCTTAAGGGTAGGAGTAAGCTCTGCTCAGCTTACCTCTTTCCCATCTTCCCCTAACAGCTATAATTAAACATTCATTAGATGGATGGAGGAGTTGCAAGGTTTGAATTTATAACCTGCCTCTGGGCACTATTCTAGGAAGGTTGTACACGTACCAGAGGTTATCCCAGTTTTGTGATGCATCATTGACTTGGGAGAGGGTGAAGGAGACTAGACTTTTCTCTGACATCTTCCATGGTAGTCATTCTGAGCACATTGGCTCTGCTAGTTGGTATGGTGGAAGGGCACCATACTAACAGGTTTGGAGGCTGACTCTTAATCCCATCACCAACACTTAGCAGGTATATGATCATGGGCAATTCATTCAATTGCCTGACAATTATAGACTATATAGGGGGAAGAGCACTGGATTTGGAGTCAAGAAACTTGGACACTTGGCTCCATACTTCCTTAGCTGGGAGACTTTGGGGCAAGCCACTTAGTCTCTCAAGCCTTAGGTTCTTCAGCTATACTATAATGGGAATAAACTTCACTAACTACCTCACAGACTTGTGGTGAGAATATAATCAGATAATGGGATGAAAACACTATACTGGAAAGGGCTATACAAAAGTGGGAGATCATTTTTATTATCTAGTCACTAATGTTTTCCACTGCCTCTTGAATCCATTTTATTCTAACCAACAATTACATCTCTCACATCTTTTTGAATATGAGGAATTAAAACATGGGTATGATGTAGGGGACTGGAATTATTTTACTTTCCACATACAGGTGGGAGAAGTGGTTGATGGGCGCAGTGGGTGTTAGATATACCAGTGAAGTATGTGGGTGGGCATTTTCCTGGGCCACTTTGACAGTACCCTGGGATGTGATCAGGACCCTTGCACAGACACTAAGGGGAAAGCAAACAGGGATTAGGAGTTGAGAGGAGGGTCTGGCGCACTGCTGCCCTCCTGTCAGTTTTGTCACTACTCAGGGGGTGGGGTAGGCTAAGATTTGAGGTGTGATTGGAGGCCTAGGAAAGAAGACTGTCCTTAGGGCCCCAACAGCTGTGTAACAGGCTCGAGCCCTGATGGTGAAGGGGAGAAAGTGTTACTTGTGAGATCAGCTCTCCTGGGCATCAGCTGCTTTGTTATCACCAGCAACCTTAGTCCTGGTCAGTATTATTTTCTGCTAAGAAAGATATTGAAACATAGCCTCAAGGAACTTTCATAAGCACTGGGAAGCAGGGACTGTCTCATTAATCTTTGCATCTTCAGTAACATCTAGTAAGGTGCCTTGTGTATAATAGGTGCTTAATAAATGTTGCTTGAATTGAATTATCCTCCAGCCCCTCAAGAATTATGCTCAATTTTCCACCAAGTGATATTTTTGGAAAATAGTACTGATTTGTATGTCAGCTATGTGTTTCTTTGGGTGGATCTTTCCATCTATCTTGTCTTCATTTCACTTGTAAAATTAAGTGAGTTAGATGCTCTCTAAGATCCCTTCCAGCCCCCAAACGTTACAATCCTGTGATTCTAAATGTTTCCATTGCCTTTGAACGTGAGTGCGGGTGCGCAATGCCTCCCTTGTGGCTCCATCTCTCCTCCATAGGCTTTGTTCAGAGGAAGAGGTCTGAACAATCCACAGAGTTATTTGTTCCTCTGCAGCAGTTTTTACTGTTTTCAGAATAGCTCTGGAGAAGCAGCCTTTTTGACATTTTAAAATATATG